AAACATGAGATATAAAGAAATTTAACTGTTACACTGATACAAGAATTACATTATTGTATTTGTTTTATTTCTAGAATGGTGTTCTTGTAGAATTTGAGAATTTTCAACCTGGAAGTCTTCCTCCAAAGTTGACTGACCTATCTACCTCTCCAGAACTGAACAATAATATTGTATGTTTATTTGGAATTGTTTGTGCTATCATAGCAATGTTTTCACTATTTGAATATAAAATCAGTACAACTTATTTCACTGAATATTTATAAATTAAGAAAAAGAAAGTAATATTATATTGTGAAACCTTTTTATGTGTATTTGAAACCATTTAATTGCTTAGCACTGGTTTGAAGAGTAAACATTTTGGTATTTACTTGTGCAGAGTTTGGATGGGTCCAACTTTGAAAGGTATTTTACTCTTTAGCAAAAGGCTGGAAATTAAAAATTTCTTAATTTGCTCAGTGTAGTTGTAATGTAAGTCTGAGATGTCTTAATCATTTAAACAATTCTGTCATTTAGAGAAGTACCCATAGCATTGGCCATAATGTCCGAATTATTTGCCTAAATTAAAAGTAATATATTTATTTGTGTCTTTTCCTTGAAGAATAAGAATGAAGTGTCGATTGCTCAGGATACTGTTTTTCTCTTGTTAAGCATAAAGCTACACAATGAGTTATCTGCTCACTTGGGAATAGAAACCCAATTTTTATCATTATAAGTGTGCAGACTTCCTGCTGAGCCACTTGGGGGTGGGCTCAGTATACTTACGAGTATTAAGGCTAAAGAGCTTGTGAAATGTGTTTGTATCTTTAAAATTCTGTTGCCAGCTCCTTTTAGTATTAGTCATACTTGCAGTATGGAGTATATAGTATTAGGCATGCTTGCAGTACATAGTATTAGTCATACTTGTAGTATGTAGTATCATTCATACTTGCAGTACATAGTATTAGTCATACTTGAAGTACGTAGTATTAGTCATACTTGCAGTATGTAGTACTAGTCATACTTGAATTACGTAGTATTAGTCATACTTGCAGTATGTAGTATTAGTCATACTTATAGTATGTAGTATTTAGTATTAGTCATACTTGCAGTATGTAGTATTTAATATTAGTCATACTTGAAGTATGTAGTATCTAGTATTATTCATACTTGCAATATGTAGTATTAGTCATACTTGCAGTGTGTAGTATTAGTCATACTTGCAGTATGTAGTATTTAGTATTAGTCATACTTACAGTATGTAGTACTAGTCATACTTACAGTATGTAGTATTAGTCATACTTGCAGTATGTAGTATTAGTCATTCTTGCAGTATATAGTATTAGTCAGACTTGCAGTATGTAGTATTAGTCATACTTGCAGTATGTAGTATTTAGTATTAGTCATACTTGCAGTATGTAGTATGTAGTACTAGTCATACTTGCAGTATGTGGTATTAGTCATACTTGCAGTATGTAGTAAGTGACTTATTAAACCTCTGTAAAGTATTTCATTTTGTGAAGCTTTTCTATCACTGTTCATTCTTCTGTTGCCGCTAAGAAAACACCAAATCATGAACATTTTATGCTGTTAATGTGTTACTCTAATTAATTTCTTTAAATATAGAATGAGTAAATTTATTTAATTGTTTTAATCAGTTATTTATATTCAGTGTTGTAACAGATAAAAACATAAGATCCCCTAAATATATGATGCAATGTAAACCTCATTGGTAGTAAACATTATAAAATACAAATCTGTAAATTTAAGGTTTAGAGTAACACTACACAGGTGACATCAGTAGTAATTAACAAGACTAATTCCAATATTGTTTGCATTCTTCTTTAAAAATTTTCAATCTTATGTTAACAGGGCTCTGTAACCAACAACCATATGGATCTGTGAATATTATTGTGTATAGATATGCTTAGACAATATCTATAAAAGGTGTATATGGATTGCATGGATAATTCCTATGTTCGAATAATAAACAGCTAAAAGGTAGACTTCATTACAAACATAGATATAAAACAGCTGGGTTGAGAATAAAATTAGAACATGATCGGTATATGGTGAGACTTGATGAATGGAGTTGAACTTGGTTAGCAACTGTGACTAAGGTAAAAAGATAAATTATTATCCACACCTCTCCATGTGTTTGCTTGTTTGAAAATAGTATAAACATATGTTACTGAAGAAAAAAACAACATAAAATTAGTAGCAGTAAAACTATTAATTGAATAAATATATTTAGAGACATTTATTAAAAAATAAATGGGTAAATTAGTCTGTGCTGTCTATAATTCAGCTAGATAGGTTTATAAACACAAGAAACATTAAAATTCTGATCATAATAGCAGAAGAACCCAGAAAACTTTAAATAGCTTCAAAACTTGCCTTACATTGACAGGGAAGTGCAGATTTACATTTGAATATATGACCTGTTTTACACTTTTTCTATAACAAAGTATTCAGCTTTATCACAAATAAAAAACATTAAACTCATGTGGACCGACAACCTCCCAATAACACAAGTATTTGTATTTATTATAGACTTTCTTTTACTGATAATCAATAGTTCAAAGTACAGAAGATATTTTTAGGTTGATGTAGGAACTCGAAATTAGGATTGTTTAGTGTCTTTGAAGTTGGAAGATGATCTAAGCTGAAATTTATCAAATTAACTCAGAGGTTTCATCTTGAAAGAGTGAATAGATATTTGGTTTTCCTGTAAGAAAAAGTAACTTATATATATATATATAAAGTAGATTAAATTAGCTAACTACCTATTATATCTATCAAAGCCATGCGTATGTATTTGTACATATATATTTGACTTGGTTTACATTTTAACATAATTAATTTTTTTTTTGAAAGAGTTAACCATGTATGTGATTCCTCTTGGGTTTTTGAATGAAAGGCTAGGTACTTCCTTTGATTTGCATATGAATGTTTTGTTGATGTATAGAGCAAGCTATGATCCATTTCACTATATCAGTGGCTTTCCCTTGATAGAGTGTGCTTTAAAACGTAAGGCAGTAGAAACTTCATACACTAAAGTTGTTTACAAACCAGTAGCATCTCTGTCTCAAATAAATCAATGTTTACATAGAACTGCAGGGCAGGGTGGAATATCATACTCCTGTATCTTTTGGTCAGATAACATAACATACAGACATCGATGACTATTAGTTTCTTCAAGACTGTCCCTGTACACCCACTGCCAAGAAAATGCAAAGTTGAAATTAAACCCTCCCCTTATTTATCAGGAGATCATCAATTTTTCTCTTAAACTCTTGTTTCGTGAGAGCCTGCACTACTGCTTATAGTAAATCATTTCATAAGCTAATAACCATGTAAGAAAAAACTGTTTTAATTGTCTTTTAACTGTCTTTTCCAAATCACAGAATTATGTACCACCACATTCTGTTGTCTTCAAAATACACAAAGAAATAAAATGTCCTTGATCCTCTGGATAATCTTGTAAGCTTCAATTTAGTTACTGCTTACCCTTCTTTTCTTAAAGGGAGAAGTAGTAGGGATCTTAATCTCTTCCCACAAGATAACCCTTATATACTTGGATTCACCTTAGCAACCCTAATCTGAACAAGTTAACATCCTTTATTATGTGAGGAGACTGAACTGTGCATAATATTCAAAGTAAAGCCTAACTAGTGAATTGTATAAAGACGTAATTGCTTCTCTTGATATGTCGTATACACTCAGATACCTTAGATAAGAGGTAACATGGCACTGTAATTTCTTTTCTCGGGGGTCAATGTACAGGGGACCTGTCTTCAGGTTTTTTCCAAGAGTTTAGCTCCATTATCATGAAATGTCTGTTGTGTTTTCTCTCTGTTTTATGGATTACTTTTATTGATCAGTATTTTTTTAGCAATATATTCACTTTGTTTTTTTTTTACTTCCAACTGTGAGAATACGATTTTTCTTGTGATTTAATGGATAATGCACTAATTATGGTTTTCTTTGGAGATTCATGTGCTCAAGTATCTGGTATTCACATACATTTCTCTGATTACATAAATTGACTTTCTAATATGAATCTTCAATTTCATGATTTAAGAGCATGCTAGGCAGAAAATTTTAGCATTTGGAAGAAATCATTATCTGTAATGTTGAACAGTATTGGTGTAATTTCAGAGGAGGGTGTAATTCCAGCAGGAAAAAAAAACAGGCTACTCCATGATTGGCTACCAGTTACATACTGGAGGTAGTGAAGAAAATTAACCATTAGTTCATTAGATGTAACTGAAGAACACAATGTTTATTGCTGTTAAAGTACAATAGGAACTTCTCTTAGAACTATAAACGGGATAATTCACACAGAGTAGGGTCAACAGAAGCATCATTAAATCCGTATCCCTAAACTTTCTTCCAAAGCACAAAGCCAAATGAAAGACCAGCTGTATGAGCAGCATCTGGGATTTGACAAATATGTATCACTGAATGAAGCATATGTGCATAACTACCTGTAACAAAGTATGGTATCACTGAATGAAGCATGAGTGCATAACTAGCTGTAACAAAGTATGGTATCACTGAATGAAGCATGTGTGCATAACTAGCTGTAACAAAGTATGGTATCACTGAATGAAGCATGTGTGCATAACTAGCTGTAACAAAGTATGGTATCACTGAATGAAGCATGTGTGCATAACTAGCTGTAACAAAGTATGGTATCACTGAATGAAGCATGTGTGCATAACTACCTGTAACAAAGTATGGCAATTTGTTATTATCTTACCAGGGATATAAAATTTCAAACATAATACAATGCACATTGCAAAAAGGTTTTCTAAGGGATTTATGGTGGTTGCAGGCTACAGGTATACACATAAATTAAACCTCTAAAAAGTGTCTATGAATTTTGCATATCATCAGGCTAACTTACTTACACCACTATACTGTGAGGAAATATGATCTTTGTATGGTCTGGACAGCAACTAGGTATGGCTCCAATCAATCAAATATTTTCATTTCCAAGGAGCCACTTGACCCATCTAGATTACCCCATTTTCTACTGACACCCTAATCCAAGTTATCCTGTTTCTTATCTCCAACATTAATTTTCAAATACTTATCTGGTCTCATTTTAAACTCTTGAAGGCATTAGGTGACTACTGTATTAGAAAAGTAACGTGCTTTAACGAGAGTCATGTCTCACTTCTCCATATCTTGTGTCTTGTAATCTTACAGCCTTCAATTGTTTTGAAAGCATCATCAGGAGTTATGGATTTTAAATCTCTAAAAATCTTAAGAGCCTCAACCAAAGCTATTTTTGTAAAGAGTGAAAACATTTTAAAAGATTTCACATTATATCCAAATCTGGAATAATCCTGATAGGCATTTTTTGAACCCTCTCCGACAATCCAACATACCTTCTTAAATAAGGTAACCAAAACTGAACAGAATATTCCATATGAGGTCTAATCACATCTTACACAGTAAAATTTTTTCTCACTATTTCTGTGGACGTAACCTGAAATCTTGTTTGTCTTATTTTTAGCAAACATAAATTGTCTAGAAGCTATTAGAGGCTTTTTAATAGCTAAGCTCAGATCTATTTTCTCTTTAACCTATCCTAGAGCTTTCCATGCAAGGTTAATAGAATAATTAATGTTATGATAACCAGTGTGCGTCATTTTACTTTTATCAAGAGTAAAGGATATCCAGCCACATGCCCAAGTCAATATAGTGTTCTTTTGTATGAAATAAGTACAAATGTACATTCATACTATACTATTTGTAGATACCTTTTTTGGACATCTGTGCTCAAACAAGCCATCAGAAGTCATCGTCCGTGCATGATTAATTGATTTTGGAAAGTGTGTAAAGAGGAGGGGACAACATGTACCTTAAATATGTGTCATTAAAGCTTCTTGGAGTGGAGACTGTGCTGAAGAGCAATAGTCCTTAACCAATCTTATCACATAAATACTATATGTGGTGAAAGAATTAGGAGTAGTAAGGACTAGACAGTCATACTCGTACTGCTACCACAGATTGCAACACCCCTATTTACTTGCCTGTATTGACTGGTACAGATACACTCGTGTGGTTAGTCTCTTATCATCATCTTATTGGCTACATGATCATATTATCCAGATTTCATCTCACTAACCTCATCATTATGCTCTTGCAACCACTTGTATTCCTTTAGAAAATATTTTGTTGTCTAACGTGTGGAGGAATCCGTAAAGTTTGTTCACATCGGATAAGAACAAATTATAAGGTTTGTCATTCTCAACAAAATGTGAATGTCTTGTATGATGTATAATTTTACCATTTATTTCTTACTTATGTCATTATCAATCATTAGCTAAAATTAGAAATTCATGCGTTGTGATGTGGTTTTTAAATACTGGGTTTGAAGTATCCATGAACTACATCTGTTAAGAATATAGTACAGTTTTATGAGCAGGTTAGCTCAACCAGAGCTGCATTAGAACTGAACACTCGGGTCAGTTGTTCTCAGCACAGAACTAGTGAGAGCTCCATATGTAGCTTTCAAGGACTGGTTGCATGAATGGAACAAAGATTGTAAGATATACACATAAGTTTAATATTATTTGAGTCCAGATCTATAAAACTGTATTACTGACGATTAATATTCAGCTGCATGCATTAGTATTTAATGAACTGTACAGAAGTTCAGTCAGTATTTAATAAACTGTACAAAAGTTAAATCAGTATTTAATCAACTGTACAAAAGTTAAATCAGTATTTAATAAACTGTACAAAAGTTAAATCAGTATTTAACCAACTGTACAAAAGTTAAATCAGTATTTAATCAACTGTACAAAAGTTAAATCAGTATTTAATCAACTGTACAAAAGTTAAATCAGTATTTAACCAACTGTACAAAAGTTAAATCAGTATTTAATGAACTGTACAAAAGTTAAATACCTGTACTACCTAAAACTTCCATAAAACAAACTTGTGTGAAATAGTGAAAATAAACCTAAGGATATTTTTATATACCATTTTAAATCAATCAGTGTATAAAATTCAACTCCAGGAATTAAACTGATTTTTCATTTTAAACATCAGTATTGACTCAGTTCTAACCTATACATGTTAAAGCTGTTTCAAGTGTCATAATGGAAGGATATTTCACTTGTACAAATTTTTTCAATGATATTTATATAACAATACTTAGTTTCTGCTTCTAACAATAGGTGTGCAGGTATCATTGTATCATAGGCAACATTAGCTTATGACATACACGTGCAGGAGAAAAGCCATTCACTGGTTGTTGATGAATGACTGGAAGCAGCAGAGGTGGGAGAGTTAGCTACACATACAATGTTGCATATTCTGCATGTACAGGGAACTTTTCAGCAGAATATACAAGAAAAAAAAACTGGATTATTTTTCAATCACGACAACCTTTATATATAATTCAAGTAAAAACTGAAAAGTTTAAAAAACAATGATGCATCCTAGGAAAAATTAACATCCCAGTTTTACCTGAAACAGAGTGCTGTATTTTATTACTGAATAAGAAAAGGTTTTGAAAAATACATAACAGGTTGTAACCCTAACTACACTTTTTTCCTGGTAAACTTACCAATCTTTTTAAATCTGTGGATCCAGCATGCTATGATAACTTATTTCTGGTAGTCAAGGGGCATGTGATTATTCTCTTTGATAAATACAAAGTTTATTTATTTATTATTATGCCCAATTGTTTCTGAACTATAACCAGAGTAAAATTTGAAAGTGATTAAATGATCAAAACTATTATTCATGGATACAGTGCATAACAAGGCACTAAAGATGTAGCTACATAATCTTATATACAACTCGGTAAATTATAAGTTAAAGCCTAACTTTCAGTATACCTATGTATACATGGTTCTCTTGTAATTTTTACAATGATTAAATTAAATATTATTTTCATTAAAAGTAATTGAAACATATGTTTTTACTTACTTTTAACATACTTGTAATAAGGGACATTGATAGCATTTAAAACCTTTAGTTTTAAGAATTTATATTTAGATATGAATTATGTCACTTATTTTTCAAATTATTTTTAAACCCAATATTAAAAAGATTGTATTCTTAATTCATCTAGAATGGTAGATGCTTTTGTTTACAATAAAAAATATATAGATATGTAGATTTTTGTCATTTTGAATTGGTAACAATACATCTTTATTGATTTAAATGATCTAGAAGTTTTAGGATTTAACAACTGGCTGAGTTCTTAAAAGCTTTCTGCTAGATACAAGATTTTGTTCAACCAGAATTAATGTTCATAACTGTAAATATTAATTTACTTCTAAATAATAAACACACAGACATAATGACTGCTGAACATGTCCACCATCCCTTCTTCAACAACTGTTATTCAAATAATTACATGCTTGAATTTTTTCACATGTGTTCAATATACATAGTTATAAATCATTTAAAACTGAATGATTTCAGATTTGAGTTAAAATAATATTGTATACACTAGACAATGTGGTTAAGGTAGGTTCTACATTCTTTTATTATATATGTAAATAAAATGCTTTCTTTTCACTACTAATTGCATGAATTTATAAAATAATATCTTTTAAGGATTAATGACATATCCATTCCTCACTTAAATAAATCTTTGAAAGTATAAACCACTAAAACATTTCTTCATGAGAGTTCATTCTAATATTGTTTACGATCTCAACAAATTATAATTAATAATTCTTAAATACAGAACACAATAAATAATTCATTTAAAAAATCTTTACTGAAAAAAAGCATGTTTTTGGTTCTTTTCATGATGGATTTGAAAGTGTTGTTTGTAAATACATATTTTCTTTGTGTGTGTTTTCCTTAAGCTAGTAAAGACTTTATAAATGTGTAAGCTACAGCTACTAAGGCCACAGTTGTGTTGGTAGAAGCACAGTTGTTGAAGAAGGGATGGTGGACACGTTCAGCAGTCGTTATGTCTGTGTGTGTTTGTTAATAGCATAATTTACACTACTTTAAACATGAAATGGATTTAAAAAAGAGGGCACCCTTGTTTTTATTAATGTATGAGAAAAAGTATTCTAAGAACTTGAGATTAGATTTTGTTAACTAGTAGTTTAAGTATAAACATAAGATAATCGGGCATTGACCTGGCATACATTGTTCTAATTTTATGAGATCTGGCCTTGCTTTCTTTGGTTAATTGGTGTATGTGTTGAAAAATGAAAATTGAAACAAAAACAACTTCAGACTTCACAAAATGTGATTAAATGAATAATAATTTCATTCCAAAATGTATAACTTTGCAATTTGATTTTCTTTTTCACCATATTTGCAGCCACTATATTGTCAAAACCAAAGCTAGAAATCAACATGAGAGATTGCTTAGTATCTACTATTGTACTGACAGTACTTACATTGATGTTTGTTACAATCAAATAGTGTATGTTCCATCAGAACATGATATTAATAATACATGTTATTTACTTACAGATAACCATATGTCGAGTGAAGAGTGAAGGGCTGAGATTCAAAATTCTTACTACTCGCAAAATTGGACAAGATATGACTTCAGTTCATTATGACTTAAGCATAGAAAGGCTAGAAGGAAAAGTCAGTGGATATATGAATATCATAGTAGAAATTATTCTTAATTTTGGCTCTGTTCTATCTGTTGGCATGTACGAGAATAATTTCTTCTCTATATCTGAAAATATGTCATTAAAGATTTGCATTATACATTGAACAGTATTATTTTGCTGCTAAATTTTTAGTATGTGTATATATACGTTGTGTGTCAGGATAAGATTATCTTGCGAGGTATTACTTTTAGACTTTCTGTGGAAGTGATACTAGTCAAGTATTTGCAGGAATAATTAGAAATATGTCACTTGTAATTTGACTTTGTGTATGATGGTTACTATAAAAAAGCCTTATTTCTAGCACAATATTTAAAAGTTAGTTTACAGAATGTGAGAATGATTCAGCTGTTAACTATCCCAGATTGTAAAGTGCCTTTTTCTAAGTACCGTGTGAGCCACATAATAAGTATATATTGATATGTCTATTTGTTACTGACTTTTTAAAAGCAAATTTAGTGAATGCAGATTGCTATCTTATTGGCAGATATGGATATTTAAGTCAGTATTTAATGAACTGTACTAAAGTTAAGTCAGTATTTAATGAACTGTACTAAAGTTAAGTCAGTACTTAATGAACAGTACTAAAGTTAAGTCAGTACTTAATGAACTGTACTAAAGTTAAGTCAGTACTTAATGAACTGTACTAAAGTTAAGTCAGTATTTAATGAACTGTACTAAAGTGAATACCTCCATATGTAGATACTTTGCATGGATTTTACAAAATTCTGTGTGTAAAACTTTCATTTTACCAGATTATATGTGCTCTCTGCAGTTTAAAATGTGTTTTTCTTTATCCAATGTAGCAGTTCCAAAATCTAAACTGTCATGAGCAGCACTTGATGCTTTCCAAAAATAGCAACCTTTCCATTTTCCTGCACACATTTTACACCTATTCTTTTGTGCACTGTTAATACACATTATCTCACATACTCTTGTTTAACTATTTTCAGAAGAGAATTATACATATTTTTATAACACTACAAAATGCCTGAAAGTGTTTTGTTGAGTTTTATGAGAAAAGAATATAGTATCCTTGTTTAATATAGGAAAAAAATATCTTCATTACTTCAAATTAGAGGGGGCAAAGGGTTAGAAGGTTTGTCTTCTTTTGTCTGTCATATGTACGTAGATTTTATAAACATGTCTTTTCAACCTTTTTATTTTTGTAACTAATTACCTTAATTTTTTAAAGAATAGTAAAACAAACATTATGACTCTGGGCCCTCTAGTGGTAGTGTTTTTCCAATGTCTAACAAAACATGTACAAAATCTACCCCAAACTAGTTGGAGGTAATCTCAGGTGTTACATTGTACTTTAATACATGTACCTGTGTACTAAAAACCCATTCAATTTAAGTATACTGTAAGACAATAAAGAAGATTCTAGAGTCCAAAGCAGTTCCATTGTGTGAAAATGTGCAGATAAGAAAAAATATACAAGAATGCAAGCAAAAGTGTACTAGTTTTTTGACCTACAAAGTTTTTCAGTTATACTGTATTACTTGTGCATCTGTTAGCTATGCACGTACATTTATATTATACTTGAAAATCACCATTCAAATAAAATTTAAACAAAAAACATGCACATCTACCTTGTATACTTTAAAGCTTCTTTGTTTTCATTTTTGTGAGGTTTATAGAAGCAAGTTAACATTCACATTATGAGGTTATCTATTGAATAATGTTCTTTGTTTGTGGAGAAATTATAGTCGATAAAATAGCTCATTTTAATCATGAGAAAAGCACTTAGTTAACCTTCAAGCTATTATATTGTTTTCATGCTGTTCACTACTGTATTTTCTTTAATAAATTTTATGGTGTTCTTACAATGAATACAAATTTTCATAGATTTTAGAAATTCACTTGAAATGTTAAGTGGGTCAGATAAAAGTTTCTTCTTTGGGGCCACTCAGGCTTGATGTTCAGAAAGTGAAAAAAAAAAATTTTGTCCTGATATAAGTGCCAATCTATTCAATGCATAGTGAGGATCTATTCATCCCCATTGTGTTCTGCATTTCTAGCAGTTTTACCCTCACCAAGAACAAAGTTTACTTCTTTGTTGGCATAACCTTTCTGTCGAGAAATATCTTTGACCAGATATACCTAAAAAAGTATTAGAACATTTCAGCTTCGCTGTTATTGAAATAATAATTATAACATTTTGAAGAATTCGGATAGTTAGAGAGCAACCTTTGAAGTTTTGTAGTAATTAACATAGGTGTGTAATACATGTGTTTTGACCTTTGACCTTTGAAAAATGAAATTTATAAATTTTTCTGCATGATAAATAAGTTCATCTCAAAGACTTTTACATTTCAGTTGCAGATGTGTGCGTGACATAGTTGTCAAAATATACATAAAATACAGTAGATAACAACTTAATATTCCTTGTGAATTTTAGGTTAAATGGTAAAATATTCAAAGACATAATTTTTTTTTCAGTTGAAAGCATTGGGTAACACAGAAGAACTCCTTTTCTTAGTCAGTTTTGTGGACAGACCAGACATCAAGCTAACTTTAAAACCTTCTTATGGATCACCAGTAAGTATCATAGTCAGTTTTATGGACAGACCAGACATCAAACTAACTTTAAAACCTTCTTATGGATCACCAGTAAGTTTCATAGTCAGGTTTGTGGACAGACCAGACATCAAGCTAACTTTAAAACCTTCTTATGGATCACCAGAAAGTCTCTTAGTTTTGTGGACAGACCAGACATCAAACTAACTTTAAAAACCTTCTTATGGATCACCAGTAAGAAGCACATGTGGTTATTCCTATTACTGAGTTAACCTTTGCACTTGGAGTACTGTATGTATAAAAATGTATGTTATTTTGATTTCTTTATTAATGTAATGTGATCTAAATTTCTATTCCACTCTGAAAATGTGTTTGTCATTTTACGTGTACCTTCATAGGTTTATTTAGTCAAAGGTCTGACAACTGTATGAAGATTATTCAGGTTTTAGTGGTACGTAAAATAAAATAATTTTTGTTTCAATTTTTGAGTATAAGATTTTACATTTTATTTGTAACTATATCATAAAGATATGATAGTAAAACTCGTATTAAAAAATTTGAAAATCCACCTTTATTTAGTTGCATTATGATATCTTTATAAAAACAGTTGTAAAGTATTAAGTAACCATGTTACTACCAGGATACAATAAATTACAAATTTGTTAGCACTGTAATGAATAAAATAACGATTTTACTACCATTGTGAGAAAAATTAGATTTATTCAACACAATACAAGCTTTAAAAAATGTAATCAGTTGGTAATAAAGTAGAACTTTGTAAAGAAATAGCCCAATCTCTAAGTCAAACTCGATTAGAAAAAAGCAACGTTGTTAATATCAAAATCGCAATAAAAACGAACAAGAGGAATTAAAACGTAGTTTTTAAGATTATTAAAAATAATGAAATATTAGAAAATTCTCAAAGAAAATTCTTAAATCATAAATAATGATCAAACAAGTATTTGCAATAATATATCTTGCATATCACAGCTTCACAAGTTTTTAACCTTACACTTCTCCTCTCTTCTCTGTCATCAGTCTAACTTCAACTCTCAAGGCTTTTATTGTCTTGTCAGACCATGAGATTGTATGTCACATGACTAATTACTTAATATTTGTTTTACACACATTAACTTGAGGAATTTTATGTTAGTTTCATAATATAAAAAAATTACTTGTGTAATGTTTAATCCCACCACGGGTATCGAAACCCGGATTCTAGCGTTGTAAGTCCGCAGACATACCGCTGTGCCACTGGGGGGCCATAGCATATCAGAGCGCAGATAGCCCTTGTGTAGCTTTGTTCATAATTAAGAAAACAAAACAAAAACAAATATATGCTATGAAGCAGGTGAGCAACTAAAAATATAGCTGAAATAAATGATAGAAGGAAAAATTGATAAACAGTGGATAAAATCGTGAATAAAAGTGAAATAGAAGTTACCACCTCACACAGTAATTGAAAGCAAAGAAGGATATGTAGTAATTAAAATTATTTTTTTTTACTGTAAATTATCATCACACCCCTTCAAACCCTTGTGTTGTTAGCATTTCTGTTTGACTGGCACACAGAAATGCATCAAGATACAGTATATACTATAAAACTTGCAAGTAGTGTCTAGTTCTAATTTTATAATTTTTATTTCAGAAGTTGCTCACACCAGATCAGAGGTCTATGGAAGATGTTATTGTGGACATAATTATTAATTCCATAGCAACAGCTTCAGTAGATTTCCATTTTGTTAAACAGACAGACTTTCCCAAGTTCCAACGTAGAAAAAAGGGAAGAGAATCTGGTGGACATACAGATGTAAGCTTATGTTACAATGATTTAAATACAAATAGTTGTGAATTGCAAACAAGTACATTTTCAAAGAGAACAATATTACTAAAGCTTCTAATATTGTATTGGATGTTGTTTAATGAGCTAATGTGTATTGAATTTTCACTGTTATCATCTGTTTAATGGACCATGTTTTGTGTCAACAATTTCCTTTACATTTTTAGATAATTGTGTAGTTTGAAGAGTTATTTTAAAATGCTATTGTTTAGAAGCTATATTTCGCAACAGAAGTTTTAGTCTTTCGTCAGCTTTTGTGTTTAGTGATTGTTTGGGTTTAGAACTGTGGTGATTTGTTATGGGAGGTGTGAAACTGTGACTACAAGAGCATATGTTATGTCTGAAAGCACAAATTTAACCATAAAGAAGTTTTAAAAACTACTGCTCAAATATTATTACTATTAAGTAATGTAGTAACAACAGCAATTAACAGTGGGAGAAGGGGGGACAACAAAAAGCACATGTTTAGAAAAGTTGTGTCATAAAAAGAAGTTTGCACACCACTTTTTAGGATACCCCTTTATTGTTATCCTCAGGAGAGATAGTAAATAAAGCGCTTTAAATATTCAGTTAGATTTTAAATATGCTCATTTTGACATCAAATATTATTGTAAAACATCTTAAAAAAATTTATCTGTTTGTTAAAAAGTATAAGTACATGTTCTATGTATTGTTAAACACAACTCGTTAAAAAGTATAACTACATGTTCTATATATTGTTAAACACAACTTGTTAAAAAGTATAGACTACATGTTCTATGTATTGTTAAACACAACTTGATAAAAAGTATAGACTACATGTTCTATGTATAGTTAAACACAACTTGATAAAAAGTATAGACTACATGTTCCATGTATTGTTAAACACAACTTGTTAAAAAGTATAGACTACATGTTCCATGTATTGTTAAACACAACTTGTTAAAAAGTATAGACTACATGTTCTATGCAAGTTGTGTTTAACAATATTAAAAAGTATAGACTACATGTTATATGTATGGTTAAACACAACTTGTTAAAAAGTATAAGTACATGTTCTATGTATTGTTAAACACAACTCGTTAAAAAGTATAACTACATGTTCTATATATTGTTAAACACAACTTGTTAAAAAGTATAGACTACATGTTATATGTATGGTTAAACACAACTTGTTAAAAAGTATAACTACATGTTCTATATATTGTTAAACACAACTTGTTAAAAAGTATAGACTACATGTTCTATATATTGTTAAACACAACTTGTTAAAAAGTATAGACTACATGTTCTATGTATTGTTAAACACAACTTGTTAAAAAGTATAGACTACATGTTCTATGTATTGTTAAGCACAACTTGTTAAAAAGTATAGACTACATGTTCTATATATTGTTAAACACAAGTTGTTAAAAAGTATAGACTACATGTTATATGTATGGTTAAACACAACTTGTTAAAAAGTATAGACTACATGTTCTATGTATTGTTAAACACAACTTGTTAAAAAGTATAGACTACATGTTCTATATATTGTTAAACACAACTTGTTAAAAAGTATAGACTACATGTTCTATGTATGGTTAAACACAACTTGTTAAAAAGTATAGACTACATGTTCTATATATTGTTAAACACAACTTGTTAAAAAGTATAGACTACATGTTCTATGTATGGTTAAACACAACTTGTTAAAAAGTATAGACTACATGTTCTATGTATTGTTAAACACAACTTGATATATTTAATGGAAATGGAAAAAAGTATTTTGACTGTATCAGTAGTTAAAATTTTTTAAGAATTAAAATCAACAATCTTTGTGTGAATATGAAAACTAGTGTTTTGTTCACAAAATCATAGTATTGTAGTCTAACTTGCTATAGATAAGCAAAGTTAACATGAAGATTTATTAGTTTATGATAACTTGTAAATTTTGCACTGTATTATATCAGTGTTGCTATGACTAGACCGCCTTCTGTGCTTATACTGTTGACTTTTAATGTAATTATTTTTTGTAGCCAAGCAGACATCCATCAGCAAGACACGAACAGCGACTATTGGTAAAGGTGATTAAGGCTACTGGTCTCAGTGGTAAGAAAGGTAAGAAAAAAAAGAAGTTGGGAATCGTTATAATAAACACTTTTATTTACATCTTGAATTGATCTTTTTTATAGAAAATTTAAACTTACTTGTGTATTTACTTCATACAAAGTATTGCATATGAATATTTCTTCAAACAACAAATTACAAGTACATTTTTAGATTGTATGACTAACATGTTCTTTTCAATGTTTTGATGATCAGTAGATGTAACCTATGTAACATATGTCTGCTTTTTTTTAAAGAAATAAGAAAATTTTGGAATAAATGTTTTGAAGTCATTGAAAACTAGAAGTGTGAAGTATGTGTAAGTTATGGTAATTTAATTAGACTTGAAACGACAGGTAAACTGCCTATATTAAATTACATATTTGTGTTTTATGAAGTGTTGAAAGAGTGTGGTAATTTAATTAGACTTGAAACCACAGGTAAACTGCCTATATTAAATTACATATTTGTGTTTCATGATGAAAGATTGAAAGAGTGTGGTAATTTAATTAGACTTGAAACCACAGGTAAACTGCCTATATTAAATTACATATTTGTGTTTCATGAAGTGTTGAAAGAGTGTGGTAATTTAATTAGACTTGAAACCACAGGTAAACTGCCTATATTAAATTACATATTTGTGTTTCATGATGAAGTGTGTGTAAGTTATGGTAATCTCAAGGATAAGCCTAGCTTACAGCTACCTGTAACTGATCTCCAAGAAAACTAGAAATTTGGGGATCTGGTAAGCAGAAGAATGACCGTACTAATTTGTCACAGGTGGAATGAAGAAGAAGAAACATGGTGTAAAAGTTGGAGTGAAAATAAACACTATCAGCTGAAGAACTGATGTTTGAAGACAGATCATCACAGTAATACACTTGTGATGAAGTCAGAGAAGAACAAACTAATGAGTTAAATCAAATGAAAACAAAGATAGAAGAAAATTTTACTTGTTCAAGAAAATGTTAAAATAAGTTTAACAGAAAATAAAAATTAGGCGCACATGGTCAACAGAAGTTAAAAGATTGGAACATGGATGAGACTCCAACATCATGTTCTGGCTCCTTCAAAGCTGAAACAAATCTTCTCTGTTCAGAGATCAGAACGAATATGATGTAAAAGCTAGATTAAGAAAGCACCTTCTCTCTGTATCTGTTCAATCAGAAAATGTACACCAGAATGTTTAAATATCTGTTTATATTACAATCACAAAGCTGCCTTCTGTACACAGGTTTAAATTAACACCTCAACTGACTGAATTTAGCAAGTTACTTACAAACTTACAAAAATTTTAATTTTTTTAGAGGTTACTATAGTAAGGTATTGAAACACTTGTATTTCTTCAATCTGTAATACTTTCTTTGTGTAAACCTGTATAAAAAGCTGTTTTTTTATGAATTATAAAGTAGGCTTTTTTGTTAAAGATTAAATTTTCTAATACACAAGTACTGTGTGCATTTAATACACTTTATACAAGTGAATGTTCTATGTTTATGAAACAAAGTAGCTCTGAAGATATCTGAATCTGATAGGGTAAATTGTTTCTAGGTTCTCACCAGCCCTACTGTGTCATTGAGATGGATGAGCCATCACAGAGATTTCAAACATCACCAGCAAAGAACACAAGCAATCCTTTCTGGGATGAGAACTTTCTTTTGTGAGCTTTAATCCTGTTTTCAAAAGTTTTATTTACATGTTATGCTGGAAGTTATGCTAAAATATGACTCAGTTAGCCTCACGTATTTCTCTTACTTTGCGTAGCTTTAGACAGGATTGTCGAAAATTGTTGAAATTAATTTTTTGTTTTAGGTCTTTAACTACAACTATTATATTTAGAGCTTGTTGACACGTGAAGTTTTTGTCTTGTATTTTACATAAGGGATATGTTATAGACTTAGTTTTCTTATATTTTAGTTTTCAAGAATCACAAAATATTACATATTATTACCCCAATACAGGCCAGTGACCTAAAGGGTGTGACACTTTTCATTATTACTCCAATACATGCCAGTAACCTAAAGGGTGTGACACTTTTCATTATTACCCCAATACAGTCCAGTAACCTAAAGGGTGTGACACTTTTCATTATTACCCCAATACAGTCCAGTAACCTAAAGGGTGTGACACTTTTCATTATCACCCCAATATAGTCCAGTAACCTAAAGGGTGTGACACTTTTCATTATTACCTCAATACAGTCCAGTAACCTAAAGGGTGTGATGCTTTTCATTATTTCCCCAATACGAGTAACCTAAAGGGTGTGATGCTTTTCAATATTACCCCAATACAGGCCAATAACCTAATGGTGTGATGCATTTCATTATACCCCAATACCAGTAACCTAAAGGGTGTGACACTTTTCATTATTACCCCAATACAGTCCAGTAACCTAAAGGGTGTGATGCTTTTCATTATCACCCCAATATAGTCCAGTAACCTCAAGGGAGTGATGTTTTCACCCTGAGAACTAAAACTATGTTGTTTATTTGTAACTTGGATTTCATTTGATTCAGTTTTTATGATTAAAATTAAAAAGTCTGGGTGGTGTGCATTATCATAATCAAAGGTATAAACTATCTTCCTTGTTGATGTTCTGATAAAAGATCAATAATCAAGAATGATGTGACCAATCAAATGAACCTTTGTAAGATGACATTTAAGCAAACTGTGACTCTTGACATATAGTTATCCCCTGCTAGGACAGCAGTAAGTCTAGTGATTTACAATGCTAAACTCAGGGGTTCGATTCCCCTCGGTAGATACAGCAGATAGCCTGATGTGGCTTTGTTATAAGATAAACATACAACTTATCTATAATTATTAAGCAATATATGAATAATTATTGCAGTTTCTTGTATTATTATAGGTAATAGTTCAATGATACATTACAAACATGGCAAAGGTCTGGAAAAAGTCAGGAAATTTCCTCTTGCCCAAGGAGTGAGAACCATTTTAAGATGTAAAAAAACATGGCTAATTATTACATATTGATATTTGTTTCGAGACAAAAAATGACCTAATATTATATTGCATTTGGTGATTTGTTAATATTTTCTTTTTAGTAATTTGAAAAATACATCAGCTGAAATTCTCTTTGAGATTTATGACCGAGGGAAAGACAATAAAGGTAAGTACTGTTTCTGTCGTTCTGTCATGAAGGTTTAGAAAGACTTTGATTTCAATACCATGTGACTTTCTTTCAGCAATAAAACTCAGTTTTTAATTTAAAAACATTTTTCCAGGCACACTGTCACGTTGCATTTATCATTTTAGTGCAATATAATATAATTGTGATTAATACACATGAGAATAATTTGTTTACAGAACAAGCTTAATGTGAAGTTGTACATTGTACTTTCATGTATATTTCTCATACAAACTTGAATTTTTGTTTCTACCGTATGGTGATGGTAGAATAGCCATCACCATATGTGGTAACACTGTTACAGTTAGGCACTTCAGTGAAAATTTTTTTCCACCTGTCCATGGTATTTTTGTCAATCTAGTAAATACACCAAGAGTAGTATTGAAAGAGTGGCTTTTAATAAATATAGATTTAACTGCAAGATGATTATGTAGTGTTGAAAGCTAACTTTGTCTTGTAAATTATACTTGGTTAAAATAAATATAATGATTTTGAAGACTCTATAATTGGTCATAGCAACAGATAAGTTCCTGGGTCTTGGCATAGTAGGAGTGAGAGAGATAATGAACAACCCAAGTCAGCGACAGATCATTCCTCTTCAGTCTCAACCAGTCACAGATGGTGATGTGACTGGTTCTCTCACAGTGGAGGTCAGTTTTTCTTTTCCTGTAGTTTTAAAATTATAACATCACTTATGCCTTCCATATGCACAGAATGTAACACCACATGTGAAAAGAAGAAACAACTTTTGGTTCAAATGTTCCAATTCTACTTGCTTTAAATTCTCATTTCTGAAACAAATCTTTTAAAGTGTTTTCTAAATACACTACTAGTCTTTTTACATTTAACACTTGCTAATGTGTATTATAATAATTACAATTTTTACAAGATAGAAGCTTATAGATGTTTGGGTATTAACTATTCACTTCAAAGCAGGGTTGGCCTACACATAATATATAGAAGCTTATAGGTGTGTGACTATTATCTATCCACGTTAAAGCACTTTTAAAGCAGGATTGGGCAAGTTTGTGCCAGTAGCATTTTTAGAGTGGTCTTAGAGTCAAACAAGTTTATTGCTAGTTAATAACAGAGTAACACAGTAATAGATATTAAACATCATGTTAAAAGACTTAAAATTAGCTCTGGTTTTTATATTTTATTAATTGTTTGCTGGTGGTATGTGGGCCAGTTAGAATTTCTTTGGCCACATATTGGATAACCCAGTTTTAAATACTTTAGTGATGTAGAGATATAAGTTACCAAACTCTGTGCTTTCAGTTTCTCTTTATGGAGGGAGCTGAGGTGCCTGTTACTGGTGATGCTTATGGAAAACGAACTGGATTGGTTGAAACAAGCAGTCGGGTGACAGCAGGTGGCACTGTAATCACTACCACTACATTTAAAAAAGCAGATGGCATAGAAGGTGTATATTTATATACATTTTTTGTTTATAACCCTCAACTTTTTTTTCTTTCATATTAGTAACTTTATTGATTCAAAACTTAATAATTTTTTTCCTAAATGTATCAATATCTCTACAAATCGTTCAACTATTTTTGAACTAAAAAAGACAAACGTTCTCTGTGCAATGGTATTGATATTGAAAAAAAAAAAGTTGCTTTCATTTTCAATATTCTCATGTATATATAAGTATGACTGTGTACAGAGTTTGTGCATGTTCTTTGCATTTAATGTAATGTCTAACATACAAATAATGGAATATTGTGATGAATATAAGAGTACTGGGAAATCGTGCGTTGTTGATGTCAAGGGAGTTTGGTTTTTCTGCACATTCTGCTTTAATTGATCTAACTGCATGAATCTAATTCTAGGTTGAAGTGCATTTATTATTGATTTGCACTTTTAATGTTCTATTTTTTATTCTAATTACTCCAAAATAGCAAACAAATATTTTAATTTTTTCTTATCCTGTTAATTGATTTTTTACACTTCCATGTTTACTGCATATCTTGAGAAAATAAAATTCCTCATTTTGGTTTAGTTCTAACACTGCATGTAACCAAAGTAGCTTAATTTTCCTTATGTGAAACGTATATTAGATGCTGTTTTTGCATGCAAATTTTATTTTTATTTTCATATTATTAATATCTTTGTTTGCATTTCTTTCTTTTTTTCTGTATGTTTGACTAATCTTTGTATAACCAAAGTGCTGGAAGTGAAAGCTGATTTTGTCGGTGATCATTCCTTATCAAAATATATATGGAACCAGGATTCCAAGACGTACCTAAAACTTAATGAACCAGAACAGAAAACAGAAACATCTTCAGAATTCATGAGTGCTAATCTTGACGTATCACATCTAATAACTCCTGATAATAATCCTTCTTCACCTTCAGTATATCCTGTCACTACTGAGTGCTGTTCTGTTACAGAACCAGTTTCACAACCAATATGCATATCAGGAAATGTGAATACTAATAAATATACAGACTCTTGGGTTGCAGATAGTCTCCCACTAATTAAGAATAGATTACTCGAAGAAATATTACTACATAATTTATCTAAGAAGAACGAGTCAGACAGAGTCACTAGAGTTGTAGCACAAACAGAAGGTTCAACTATTTTTTCAGATGAACCTAGTTCTATTTCTGAAACACACGACTCTGAAAAAGTGAAAAATACGGTTAGCCATTTGCCCTCAATACCACCTCCTGTACAATCTCCATTATTAAATGATGTACTTTCTCTACCATTTTCTCCTCCACCTGCTCTTCAGGCAGGACACACAACCTATTTTCCCTTTGAAAATGATTCTGAAGATAATTCCCTAAACGTCTGTGATAATACAAATAACACAGACCCGCCAGAAGAGAAGTCAGTTGTCCCTTGCCATCCACCAAAAGAACTTCCCGAGATTTATCTTTCCAATCATGATTGTCATGCTCAAGTTCTTCCAAGACAAACTGGTAATTGTTTTCTTTACAACTCACTAAATGAAAACGTGAGAGCCATTCTGTAGAGGAGTATACTTACTTAGTGAAAATGTTTGGCAATGTTCAGAATCTTTTTTAAAATTATGTCATTATCATCTTTATACATTTGTTCATCTTTCATTTTTCTAGTCTAATACTGATAGCAAGTCATTACAGTGTTTTGAGAAATATAAAAAAGGAAGATAGGGTTAGCAAAGTGATAAGAAAATTGTGAACGAACAGATTTAAAGTTAATCTGTATTTTAATTTTTTTATATCATGCTACAAACAGTATGTGAAGAAAAGTGTTGAGGGGTCTTTAAGAATCAGGAAATATATGACAATATCTTGTATTAATAGAAATTATATATTATAACAAATATATATTATGTATTATAACAAACAGTCCAATTGTTTTCACTTTGATATCAGAAACACCAATTAGAACCATCACCCCAGTTCAAAATTTGTACTGGTTACTGTGGGGAGTTTCTTTGGATTTCTTCTGCAACAAGGAGAATACAGATCAAACATTCGTAACTACATGAGGTTCATAAAGCTCTTTAGTGGTTTCAATACATAAGAATCTGTATTCAGTACGACACTTAACTGAGTATAAAAAAGTTTAAGTAACTTTTCAGGCTTTTAATGTGAGTAATCATATTTGCATTAAGTATTTGTAGTTTTTTTTAGTTTTTTTTTAATGCATAAGTTTGCAGCTCTATTACCTAAGCCTTCTATAGTCCAAGTAAATTACTTAATACACATATAAAAATATATTTCAAGTGAGTAAAAGCACAAAGTTATCGTCAAGCTAGTTGAAGGTGGAAATTTTGAGGTGATAACAAGAAAACAAAACAAACCCTGACATGCATATATGATTACACTGAATCTTTTATTTATTAATATTTACTTGGGTGTTTTGTTTAAGGTGTGAAGTGAAAATTAAAATGGCATAACTTTCACTAATACATAGTTATTTTCTTGAAGAATACAGTGTCTGCTATTTTTTAAGTGAAAGTTCTTTAGTTTATGGTTTTTTATATGACCTAGACTCTGTGGAAACATTGACTGATGCTGCACTACGAGAACTTGAAAGTCGTGAGAAAACGGGAAGTCCGATTTCAGCTGACAAGAGTACTTTGATAATTCATAGTGTACATAGGGTAAGTCAGTTAGTTTTTGTACATTTCAAGTAAAAAATACAAAAAAATTAAGTTCTTTATCTTAATTAATTGTCACTTGTAGAGATTGCTTATAATCTTATAAAAAAGGGGGTTTAGTTAATTGAAAATAACGGTAAATTAAAAATACATTTTCTTGTAAATATTTAATAGTATATGGTTTGTTTTTGATAATCAAACAAACAGTTAGAAGGTAATAAAAACAATGTAAAAAATCTTAAAAATCTCATATACAAAAATAGACGTAATCCAGAAATTCTTTCAGTTATTATTTTGTAGATGGTATTTGTGATGCTTTTAAATGTGAAAGTTAACTCATTACACACAGTACAGATTTCAAGAAATAGTTTGTTTTGATTATTTATAAATGTGTAGTTTTATTGTCTTTGACATGCTTATCCAGGGCAGAGTGTAGCCCAGTGGTTAGCATTACAGACTGTGAATGTGAGGTTCTTGCCCTGTTATTGCCAAAAGCAAAAAAAATCATGGTACGAACCTTGGGGTCATGGATGCATTATAAGAATGACAGTAAAATCCCACTATTTAGTCTGATAAAGATTAGCAGTGAATGCTGTTGACTAGCTACCTTCCCTTTAATCTATTAGTTCAAAATTAGTGATGGTATGCTTAATCTGTGTTAGATAGCTCACTTGATTTTTGGAATACCTAATTTTAATTTATATGATGTAGCACCTGCTTGGTTTGAATTTTCATGATAAAAATGTGTTTACTTAAAAAATAATTGATTTTATCAAAGACAGTAAACTAAAAGTATAATTAGAATTTTTTTATTCTTTTTTCTGCTAGCAGGTTTAACCACATCTGTACAGTAAATAATAATTAGAATTTAATTCTTGTATACCATTACATGAATACTGCTAAGCATGTTGTCCTTCTGTGTGCATGCTGCCCGTGTGTAGGAAGTTATCCGTCCAGTCCTGAAGGTACGTGTCTTGTGTTTGTAATGCATTAGTGATGTATAAGCTAACATATATAGGTTGATATATATATAAATATGTTTACTTATTCAGTCTGATCCTAATGTTTATTATAGAAAATATGTATACATACTAGTGGAGAAAAAAAAATTGAAGTTGGATGGTTTTTTTTCACTGTTAGAAAACATTCACTTTATTAATGTGAATGTGTAGCTTTGTGCTTGTTGTTCTGGCTTCACATTACTTTGTGTCTGCTGAAAATACGTTTTACTAGTTAATGACCTACAAGTCTGTAATATTCCATTATGTATCCCTGTATATTGTGTCTGGTTTGTTTCTGCTCTAACATGAACTGTTGTGAAATCAACAGTGTAGGGTAACATGTACGGTAGAAAAGGACCTCCATTTTAAACATCATGTTGTTTTTTTAACGTGACCTAAAGTTTAATGTAATTGAATACATGCACAAAAAAGTTGGAATTCTCTGCTGTGGCAGTTAAACAGAAATGTCCCTTTGGTCAATTCAACGAAATTCATTCAAATGTTTACATGGTACGGAGGAAGGTAAATGTAACTCCGAACAATGAAGTAATAAATAAAAAGAACTAAACTTTTATTAAACTGGATGTGCATGTAGCCAGTGAAACTTTTTTACCCTAATATGTGTGCTTAGTTTTGACTTTATAAGTTTTTCTTTTTCAACATGGTTTAATGTGAAATATTTGTTTATTGGGTTCTCAGAAGCCCATGAAAGATACTCGATGAATATTTTGTTATTACACATTTGTGTGAAACAACACATTATTCATAAGTAAATATTGTATTTTTTGTTGTTAATTAGAGTCTCAAGCTTGTAAATGTTTTAGTGATGTTTATTGCGTATGTTACAGCACTATTAAAAAAGCTGTGTCTAAAGCTTTTTAAGATGTGTTTATGAAGTTAGTTGTGAAACTAAAAATGTGAGTTATTAATTTAACGGTAACATGTTAACTTACCTACTTTACCATAATGAAGATTGATACATTGTTGTATCACAAAAGTAAAACCATTAGTGTTGCAGTAACATGTAACATTACTCATTACTCCAAGGACAAAAACACATAGTGGCATCATATAAGCTAAGGGTTATATTCAGTCACGTAATCGTTTCGCTTTTCAATTTTCAGTAACATCCATACAATTTTCAGTTTATTTTGTACTTGAAATTCGACACCTTTTATATTTTTTTGACAAACTTTTAATGTTATTCTTGTACACATTAAATTGGTAGTTTTACTAGATAAGGAAAGAAGAAAGCTGAAATTAAAATATGTGCCCAGTATCTATGCATGTATGATTGTGTACAGTGTAAATTGGGAATCAGTGAAAAATATTATATTACACTGGACATCATACTAATGATATAAGCCTTCTTGCATGGTTTTAAATTGTATGCCCAAAGTTATAAAACATATTTTTATTTAGATTGATTTTCATTCCTATTTATTTATATTTTCCAAGAGTTTTTTAGTTATAGACTTAATCATCATGTTATTACTTGTGAAAGATATTTAAATTAATTTAAAAATGTAGTTTCCTAGTCGTTACTCATTTTCCAAATGTGTGTCCTACAAGTAAATGCAGTTCATTTTCAATGTACTGAAACAAAAGGGTTCATCATATGGACATGCACTGACTTAGTGGTAAGTCCTAGGATTTTTAATGCTACAAATCAGGTTTCAATACCCGTGATAGCCATAACATAGATATTCCATTGTGCAGCTTTGTGCTTAATAACAAGAAAACCACCAGATGGTGACAACATATGAAACCGACATGTTTATGTGTACACATATATATATGTGTGAGAAATAATTCAGTAAAATAACATAATATTTTGGGACAACATGGAACCTATCGGTCCATCTCGGCTGTTCCACCCTCTAATCTAAATTAAAATGATTAAAAAAAATAAAAATAAAAACATTTTAAACCCAGCCCTGGGTGTTCTGTTATATCTTAATCCTCAGCGAAAATATTTTACTGTGTTGTTAATGATAGAGAAAAGTTTTTTTATTTTCATGTATAATAACAAAACTATAGAAACATGAACTCCGTTAGCACAATTAATGTGTAGATGATTTAGTTTTATAATGTATGATAAATTTCAACTATTGTTTTTACTACATTAGAAATGAAGTCATCAGTGTTTATCCGTAGAAATGTTATGTAGACTGTGTTGTGAATTTCATATCCACGTATAATGTAGTTCTCATCCAATCATCATCTGTGTGCAGGTAAAGTTGGACAAAAACGGCAGATGGCGCGAAGCTTCTCAGGTACCATGATTCGCATCAATATTGGGTAGAATTTTGAGTGTTTGGTATGATTTAACTCCTGGTAATGGTGATAGAAATGGTTGCACATGAATGACTGGTTATGTTATCTTCATTATTTCCCTTTATTTGTGCTTTTCCTCAATTCTCAAATGTTGCATGGAATTTGTGATGTTTCACATGTGTTACCGACACACCTATTATTGATGCTCAGAGTGGGATATGATGATATGATTTCAAAGTTGTCACCTTTTCTTTTTGACTTAGCTTTGAGTAAGATAAGTTTAAAACTTTGTGAAATAATATATGATGTAATGTGTGCTCATTTGATCTAACTTATCCTTTATCATTCATATAGCTTATAGAAAGGACAGACTTCAAAACATTATTTTAAAATAAAAAGTAACCTACTTTCTTCTTTTAAACTAATAATTGCAATAATCATCTTTAAAAACATAGAAAAATCGTATTTTGTAAAAAATAAAAAATAAAACTGACCATTTCATGTTTTGTTTGTCTTCTCTGTATTCTCCAGTTTTTATTTCTTCTTCGTGCATATTTGAGTTTTGTATTGTACGGAGAAAAGTCAGCAAGGTAGTGTATTGAAATATTTTTAAATATTAGTTCTCATGCGAGAAATCTTACTGATAAACTCTTAGCTAAGGATAGCTTTCACACTCTTATGATAGTTTCATACAAGAAATCGTCTAGTTTGTTGAAAAAACTTATTTTGTCCAATTTTTCCATTCACACCACCATTTGAGAAAAGTTTGAATCATTGTTATATTTGTGGTTGTTACACTTGCAAGATCTGATTGTTGAAATAACATTCACTAAAGTTTGAATCATTGTTATATTTGTGGTTGTTACACTTGCAAGATCTGATTGTTGAAATAACATTCACTAAAGTTTGAATCATTGTTATATTTGTGGCTGTTACACTTGCAAGATCTGATTGTTGAAATAACATTCACTAAAGTTTGAATCATTGTTATATTTGTGGTTGTTACATTTGCAAGATCTGATTGTTGAAATAACATTCACTAAAGTTTGAATCATTGTTATATTTGTGGTTGTTACACTTGCAAGATCTGATTGTTGAAATAACATTCACTAAAGTTTGAATCATTGTTATATTTGTGGTTGTTACACTTGCAAGATCTGATTGTTGAAATAACATTCACTATATTCGAGCTTTACAGAATATATTATTAAAGTTTGTTTACTTGGTCAAGTATATATTTGCTAATTTTGTTTTAATATTATAAATATATATATAGCAATTGGTTAATATTTTGTATAATCTAATTTCTTATAGACTGAATTTATCAGATATGCAGTCTTGAATTCTCTTAGCTGAAAGTTCTGCTTGTCTTTAGTATCTTATATCTTTAAGTTAATTTTTTCTTGATCTATGTGTCTTAACCTTCAGAAGCCAAATTAATTATTTAGTGTTGTTTAAAAATGTTAACTCCCTCGGCAAATTTTCTGATACATAAAACAAACAAATGGTACTAAAATGTCTCGGTCAATGAAACATCCCTTTGTTAACTTAGGTTTTTAATGAAACATCCCTTTGTTAACTTAGGTTTTAATGAAACATCCCTTTGTTAACTTAGGTTTTAATGTTCCTCAGTCAATAAAACATCCCTTTGTTAACTTAGGTTTTAATGTTCCTCAGTCAATAAAACATCCCTTTGTTAACTTAGGTTTTAATGAAACATCCCTTTGTTAACTTAGGTTTCAATGAAACATCACTTTGTTAACTTAGGTTTCAATAAAACATCCCTTTATTAAGTTAGGTTTTTAATGTTCCTCAGTCAATAAAACATCCCTTTGTTAACTTAGGTTATAATGTTCTAAAGCAATTAACTGACTCACAACTTTTTTTTTTATCTACCACAATTTTTTACCTTTAATGTGAACTCTGACCCTAGAGAAAAGTTTCAGGAAATCCACACAGGTAAATATAACTGAAACCTTATCAGTAACACATTACTTCTCCATTGACATTATGCAGTTGTCTCAAGTTATTTTCCATTAATTAAACTTTAGAATGGACCAGTTACCTCAGCTAAAATTGATAAATATCAGTAGCAGGCTGCAGACCATTTGTCTCAGCTTATTCTTCAATACATTAAATGTCAGAATGAACCACTATCAGGCTGCACACCAGCAGTGTCCTTAAAAATGACCACAACAAGTTGCATGATCAGATACTCTCCAAGTTTCGTAATAAGACAATTCTTATAAGCACCATATCAAATCTTTTCCGAGTCTCTGGTGACTTGCTGCTAGTGATTTCTGAACAAATTGTAAAATGTTTTCTTGAGAGCAGCCATTAAAAGGGGAATTAATTTTGTATAATTACTTGCTGACTTTTCTACCATCTTTCTGCATGCAAGTGTTTCTAGTATCTTTATCTTTACAGTAATAATTTTTATTTATACATTTAATTATGCATGGATTAATTTCTTATTTCTCATAATATTCTATAGGCTTAAGTGTGTAATCTTATTTTCTATTTTTATGAAATTTTATAACTAATTTTAATTTTAATTTCCTTAATTTGTTGTAAAAGTAAATCCTAGAAGTTTTGGCTCATAGAATTTATATTGCTGCACCAGAATTAATCCATGTTTTGTTGTGTTTAATATGTTTAACCAGCACTAATTGTGTCATATATGTTATTGTGTTCAATTGTAAATGTAATGTTTTATTAGGTATTTTAACTACACAGCTTTTGTTGTGCATCTAATGTTTAGTGAATGTTTTGTTTGTCACTATGTTTTACAAATCATGTTGTTAAACCATTTTTCTGTTTAAATTATAATCTGTATTTGCTGTTAATTTTGTGTTTGTGAGTACCAAAATGTATTTTGCTTTTTGGCTAGCTGATATGTACATTTCTTAGACTCATCTTTTATATGTACATATACATAGTTCATGGACAAAATCTTTGAAATAACTGTTCATTTTTACACTTTATTTATCAATATGGATTTGTTCTAGCATAAGCAAGCAATACAGCATTAATGCAATGTAACATTAATGAAACCCAGTGTTGTGCATCAGACAGTGATGTATTTTACCAATCTTTGATCCAACTTTGTTTCTGAGGGGTGTTGCAAAATAAATCACACTTTTTTCCCTGAAGTAATGATGAACTTTGTAGGACCGCAAATATCATCACTTGTGAGAAAACGTCATTTTAACTTACTCACGGGTGTTTGACTCTTCATATACACCTGGAAAAAAGTTAAGCACCCACAAATATTTTTCAGGATTGCTTATTGAAAATAAGGTTTAATTTTCATGATGTTGAGCAATGTTCATAATTTCAAACATAATTAAAAGGATGTGAGCGTTCAGGTGTGACATTTAAATCAGGCGCGTTTTTTTCCCCACGTGCAACTTACTCCCTTCTTCACGTCCAATAT